AGTACTAGATTTAACTTAGTATAAACTAAGGTAAAAAAGTTAAATAAATAAATAAAACGTTAAATATATATGTTTGTTGTTTATTTATTATTAATCTCTCCCCTACTATATATATATATATATATATATATATATATATACTTATTTGTTATTTATTTATATTTTTTTAGAAATGGTGAAGTTTACCGGTTCTTTGTTTCTAACCTGGGATGCTGAATTGTATGATAGTAGTTCAGATGAATATGCTAAGTGTAATAGCTCAGACTTGAATGAAGAACTTGGCCAGGTAAGAAAACATAACTACCATAGGCAAAGTATAAAGTATATTAGTGTTTCGTAATGTTTATGCATAATTTTTATGGAGGATGTATCTGAAATGTAGCCACAGAGTGATTTATTGGCTTATGAAATAAAATGAAAGATGCTGTGTTCTGACCACTACTGGGTTTGTTGTATCCAGGCTGGCCTGATGAGCTTGGGATTGAGTGAACTATGTCGTCAGCAGTGGATATGGCAAGTATAGTGGGGTTGGAGTACTGTTATTATACACACTTTTAATTCTTGAAAATCCATAAGGGAATAAATATAGAATGTAGGGTTTAAAAATATAAAAGGCCTAATACTAATATCTTATGACATGTATAATTAAAGATACTGTGTGTTTTATTTTGTAATTGCATAAAAGTAGACATATAATTTTTGAACATACACAATTACCACTTTGTACCATGTATGATACTTTAAAACACATTTATTCATGATGGTGTATAATTTTAACTTTCAGAAAATGATGCACATTCTTGCTATACCAAATTTTAAGAATCAAGTCTTGAAGTATAAATTTTACCTGTAAAGTTTTTGTGATTTTCCTAAAACAGGCCTACTTTAACAACATTAATTTTCATTGAGAATTGAATAAGATATCTTAAACTTATTGTAAAACTCAGTAATTTAAAAAAAAAAATACTAGGTGAATGGATGGGATATCTATTAATATTCATATTCTAAATATCATAAAGCCAGTGGCAAACTACCTAATTTTATGGCTCCTATTTACTATTTGTTTGTTCATTAATTATAACAATTAAAGGATAAGTGTGTGTGTGTGTGGAAAAAGTTTACTTAGATGAATTTAGAGCAGATAAAAAAAAAGAGTAATTAATGCTCATTATGAAATTAAATTAAGTTGCATGCATTTTTTAACCCATTTTTTTATGAATAATTTTTCTTTTTCTATATTTTTAAAATATGACTTATTGACAGTAGTTTGAATGTCATTTTAAATAATGAAATTCTTATGTAATACAAGGGCTTGGTGTTAAAATTTATCCACTGCTATACACTTTTAAAAGTATTTACATGTGGATCAAATAAAAACAGTAATAAAATTACATAATCAGGATTATTCTACAAAAAACTTACTTGTACTGTAATTAATCACATGCATAGGTGTGTTTATGTGTGTATGAACATTAAGAAATACCTGGTATCATATTAATTTCTTCCATTAACAGGTAGAGTACTTGTTCACTGATAAAACTGGAACTCTAACAGAAAATGACATGGTTTTTCGTCATTGCTCAATTGATGCTGTCAAATACACAGAATATAGTGGTATGCTCTGCAAAGTGTCTGAATCACAGCAGAGAAGTCCTGAACCTCTCTTCCATTATGTTGTGAGTAATGTCTACAAGTATGTTATTGAAGTTCATGTTAAAGATGTAACTATACACCTAAAAAACAGTCAAGAAACAACTAGAACATTATGAGGCCTTTAAAATGGCATAAATACTGTATAGGTTTATAACTTAAATATAAACAGAAACTCACTAACTAGATGTTAGTAGGGTCTTATAAACTCAGCATGGCTCAAATTCTGATTTATTGATTTGTGTAGTTATATTTAATGTTTTTCAAGCTCTATTCTGGGAGGTTGAATGAGGAGAATATGCATTTTATGTTCTTGAGTGTGTAGATAGATAAATTGTGAGTTTTCTGAAATTTTGTACAACTATTCCTTGTTGGACAACTTCTATAGGAAGTTTGAGTTCTGTATTTATATTTTGCTATGTCTGTTTTTGCATAACATTTTGATTATATTTTGTCCATTACAAATGACTGTGGTAAAACTTTGAAAAATATTTTCCATGTTGAGTTTGACAAGCTAGCCTGTACTGCTCTTTCCAACAAGTTTTAAGTTATAGTGGATGTTTATTTCTGATTCCTTCTACTTCTCCAACTACTATTACTCACGTGAAAGTTAAATTCAAGCTTTTCTGTGTATACTTTCAGGGTAGATATTTTTAGCTTTACTATATATATTCATCATTCTGGTATTCTTTCGCATAAACTTGCCATGTGGGACTTAGTATCCTCATTAACTGTGAAGAATTGAACACACAAAATATGCTGTTTTTTATTCACAAATAGTGGAATAACTTTGTAACACAAAATATTACTGACTATGTGTATTATTAGATGAAACTGATGTCTGTACAAGTGTTAGATAAGTCCATTTTATAACAGAGGGGTTGATCCAGAAAATTGTGAAGTATCTGAGTTTAACCCTCTCACTATGGGTAGATCAGAGTGCACATGTCACGACCTTTTAGAGAGCTACATTCAAAATGTACTTAAACTACTTTATTTTCAATGTATATGAATAACTTTGGCATCAAAACATAGTTAATAAATCAAATTTTAATATTATATAAGGTTTATGTTCTTAATTTTATAAGGAAATGTGTAAGAAATCTTCAATCTCTCCTAGTATGAGAATCGTGACATTTGTTCTCTAGGTCTTCTTCCTCTAATTTATTTATTACCCTTCTCTGAAGTATGGAACTTAATGTAACTTGATCATTATAATATAGATATTATTAAGGCAAATTCTAATTTTTATATACCTTTAATGTTATTTGTTTATTGGGCCAAAAACTAGAAATTCAGGCCCTCTTGCCACATCTAACTGTCATATCCTCTCTTTCACAAATTTCCAGTAGTTCTTTCTGATGTTTTATACTATTTTATTTATAACCAATAGAAAAACTAAATTATTATGTGTAAAATGACATATTATATTGGTTTCAATTTGTCTTCAGTTTGAAAATTTCCCTCAAGGTGTTTATATCAAGAAGCTTCAATAATTATTTTAAGGCTTTTATGCCATAGTTAAAAAGCTATTTAAATTATGATAGTTCTAGAACATAGTTTGCTTTGTTCATGTTATTTTTCTGTATTCTTAGTTGCATAATTTTAGTAAATAAAAATTATTTAGTACTAGTACCATTAGTATAAAAAAATAGTCTTAAATTTCAAAGGCAACTGACAGAAGGAAAAAAACAAGAGCCTGAAGGTAAATACAATATTTCTTGTTTTTCATGTATATTCTTTGTTTATTGTTGTAAAAGTAATTAAAATGTAAAAAACAAAAACATTTTTCATGTGTTATGCTTGTAAGCAACTCATGTCATTCAATATGCTAATATGAGCTACGTGTTTGCTGAGTGATTTACAGCTTGTGTGACAAGATTATTAGTTATACACAATTCAAAGGGCAATAAAACAATAAAATTAAGTATTAATAGATGTATACTGTTACAATCCTTAAGCTATTTAGGATAAACAAATGTAGGTTCCTGTTACAATCTGCAGTCATTCTAGAAAATAAAAAAGGCTTAGTTAGATTTATTTCGAATTTTTTTATGGTGGTTTTAAGATTGTTCAAATCAACTGAGTCCATATAGAGATACGGTAGAGAAAATAACAGATAAAATGTAAAGTTTTACTGACAAAAAACGTTTGATATTTATTTAGGATGTTATGCAAATGAAATATGAAAATTTTCATATGAAAAAATTTATTTTTAATATTAAAATGAAAGTCAATTTGTTCTCAGAGCAGTCAACACTTTGACTCCATTTTCTTATGAAAAACCTTAAGTAAAATTAGTTAATTAAAAAAATCTGATTTTTTGTGTACAAAAGATGTGTAATGTTTACCGAAAGCTTCCTAAATTTCATGAAGATACATGTACCATATACAGTATGGAAACTGTAATGATTATTTTGTGTTTACAAGGTTGGTCAAATTGACTGAGCCCATGCAGAAAGTGTTAACTAAATAACTCAGGTTGAGCTAAAGAAATAAACAGACTAAACATGTAATGTTAAGTGAAACACAGTCTTTATTAGATGCAAAGCAACAATGCAGTGCTCATACTTGTGTAGACACTGGATAGTTGCCTTCTACAGGATCAGTGAATCAGTCAGCAGTTTTTGTCTTTCATTTTTCAATATTTTTTTCTGTCAAGTGACTCACATTAAAAACTTGGTAAAAGTAATGTGAATCAAATTCTCCATACTTACAAGAAATTGTGAATTTACCCTTAATGATGCCTGTTACCATGTGATTGAGTACTCTCTTATCACATAGTGAGGGCCGTAACTTCTAGATATTTTCTTCTCAGCCACTGAAGGGCATTGCTATCATTGACTTGTTTCTGCACAATGTGTGAAATTGCATTAATATTGTTGTGGGCAAAGTAGATTCTATCTGCTAGAGAACAACAAAGGTAATTAGAATGAATATAAATCATCAGTTTACTCGACCATGTATTTATGCTAAAATGTAATAGAATCAGACTAAATGAAAAGTTATGAAAATATTTATATCGATAAAAGAAAGTAAGAAATGTATAATATGCCTGCATACTACAACTGAACTTGTTGTCTTAGAACTATACTGTAGACTGTACTGGATTAAAAGTTTTTATAATAGTGTACAGTTTCAAAATAAATCATTTTGTCTTTTATTTCAGGGAGCAGTTGAAAGTTTCCTTCTTGTTTTAGCTGTCTGTAACACAGTCCAGACCTTTAACAATGGAACACTATCGCAGTTAAACAATTTCCATAACAGTTCTAACCTTGAATATCATGCATCATCACCAGATGAAAAAGCACTAGTAGATGCTTGTTGGAGGTAGAAATTTTAGTAGTAATCCTAATGAATTTTGTTCTTGTACATTTTTTTTGTAACTAAGTGTATGTGATTGTGCTTCAGTAATTCCTACAATATTTTATGAAGTTTCTTTTTGTAACTATATGCAACGTTTGTTTTAAGGTTTTTTTGTCAGTAGTTTCCTTTTATTTTATTCTAGTGTGTGTGTGATTAAACAACAACTACATTTTAGTGTTTAATAAACTTAACATAATCTTATTTGTGTGAATTGGTAATTCTCATTTCTTCATCTTTCTCTGTCTAACTTGCATTTATTTTATTAAGTATCTTCTGTTCTAGAAACAAGTAACTTGTTTAATCTATTTTTACAGCTGATTCTGAAGGTGAAATTTTACAAAACATGGTATTTATGGCAAGTCATTGGGCATTGGAGTTTTGAAGGAGTTACTTCTGTAATGCTTAAAAGTAATTTTTGTAATATCAGTGAATATGAATCTTTTGTATGAGTAATTTTTCACCCATCTCTAGACATATGTTAGTTCAGTTACTAAAAGTTATGCTTTAAGTTAGTGAATATTTTTCTGGTGTAACCAGGGTTTAAACAAGAAAATATTCATGGGAGTATGTGTATATTTGTTTGTGAAAATTATCAAGTTTTATCTGAATAAGATTTTTACAGAAAGCATGAAATGTATTTCAAGAACAAAAAAAAAGAGAGAGGATACAGCTCATTACTGTTAATTTCTGTGCTTCTACTACATTTGTGTCCTTGATAGCTTAGGCTTCAGAATCAGGGGATCTCTCACATACACTTTTCTTTAGTTGTGTTTTGTGCTCACTACGTGAAAGTGTTCTGTAAATCAAAAACATAGAAAAAGCTGCTCTAACATGAATTTTTTTACAAATAGGTAGTGTACAGATGAGTGCATGTGTTTGTATTGTAAAATTGGTTGCATTAAATAGATGAGTTTCAGAATTGTAAGTCACACTTTCATGTTTCAAGATTCTGATACCCCTGGTTGATAGGAATAATGTTACAGAACTGATAAAGCTTTATTAATTATTAATTATCACATCCATATAATTATTACTTGCTACCATGTCAAACAAATATGAACCAAAGACAAAACTTAGAAAATATTACCTATTATAATGTCAGAAAAATAAGATCTAGGCAAAATCTGAAAAATTACTTCCTATTACCATAAGAGAAAAATATGAACTAGGCAACACTTAGAAAAGTATTACCTGCTACAATCTCAGAAAAATACAAACTAGGCAAAATCAGAATAAAATTGTTACCTATTAAGATGTTAGAAAAATACAAGGTAGGCAACAATCTGGAAAAAGTACTATTACCACTTCAGAAACATACGTAGGCAAAACCTGGAATAATGATTACCTATTACCATGTCATAAAAATACAAATTAACCAAATGTTTATATATATATAGAGATCCTTTCTACTTTAACTCTTGTTTTGCAGGCTTGGAGTTATTCTGCATGGTGTGTTCAATGATACCTACTATGTAACATTCAAAGGGAAGCTCCATAAATTTGAGCGACTTCACATCTTAGAATTTGATTTTAACAGAAAATGTATGTCGGTGATAATTAGAAATGAGGAAGGTATGTGTATGAACCATTTTGCAATAAATTAATAGTGTATACCTTATTGAATTACTTTAGTTACTTAAAGTTTTAGAACCAACTTAGCATAATATGTGTATTCAGGAGTAAAAATTACATAAAATGGAACTAACATTGCAATAATAGCCTCAATTTTACAAGTATTAAGTCAATTAGAAAGATGCAGTGGGTTTTTAAGTAGGTCAGCAGTAATAACTTATTAATGTAATATACCTCCTGAATATAAAAAAAAAACAGAGAGAGAACAGGTTTACTCACCCTATTTGTAGATGAAATTCAGCCGACAATCTTTCTTTACAAATTTGTCTATAACAGCATCATAAAAACTTTCCCAACTTCTTAGCTAGAGAAGAAACAAATCACAAACTCAAATGAACCAAATCATGCAACCTGTACATTGTTGATGTTGAACATCCACTGGCTGTCATGGTATTTTAATGCAGCATGAATTGCATAGTTTTACTAATAGGTGATAGCGATGTCACTCCAGATACTGCTGGAAGTGCAAGGTTAAGCATACAGAATTTACTTAGCATGACATGATTGAGACTAGATATGCAGAGCTCTTGCAGCACGAGATAAGAATGCTGCCACAGTGCAAAGAAACACACAATAAACAGACAGTAAAATAACAATGATAAATATAAAATACACATTTCATGGTATATAATGTTATTGCATCATTTTTAGTTTTTTGATTGGTCATGTAGTGCATGACTTGTATGCCCTGACTGCATGCCACTAGAAAGATGTTTTTCTGATTTTGGACAGAATTTATTTAATAGTGTTTTACAGGGCATATCTACTGTACATAAAACTGTATTTTTTGTCTTAGACTTACTGTAATATTTGAACTTATTGTGTGTGGCAACAAGTTATTGGTCTTAATAAAAAAAAGGGAAATTAATATAAGAGAAATATTGGCAGATTTTTTTCAGCATGTGGCAGTTTTGAGTAAGTTGACAGAAATGTAGTGTTAGTAAAATCTTAAAACCAAATTTATATCTTGAAATTATAGGAAATATTTACCTGCTTTGCAAAGGAGCTGAATCTACTGTTGTCAAAAAGTGTGTTTCTGGTCCAAAAAATGACACACTGACCCATGTGAACGATTATGCTCTAGTAAGTTTGCTTTCAACACATTAGTAGTATCATTTTACTTTGAAACCAGTAATGTTGAATTACCATAAATATGTAAAATCATTGAAAATATACCAAAATTTATTGTAACTATTGAAGAAGGCACCTCTTGTTTCATTTTGACTGGATCATCAGAAATTTATATACAGATTGTATAAGTGAACTTACCATTATAAATATCATAACGATTTTAACCTTTTTTAGTTTAATAAGCTAATACACGTTCTTGCAAATTTACTCTTAACATGTACGCAATAATGTTTCCTAAAATATAGCAATAAACCAACATTAATGTTTAAAGTAATGTAATGAAATTACAACAGACTTTGCGCTTCATTCTGCTGGCATTTTAATTATGATGTTAAACTCATTTTTAAGGAAGTTTGTTGTGATTAATGTTTACTACTGTAGGAAGGGCTAAGAATACTGGTAGTTGCCCACAAGCAACTTTCAGAAGCTGAATTTCAGAATTTTGACATCAAAATAAAAACAGCACGAGCTGAAATGGTAAATAGGGAAGAAAAAGTAAGTCTTTTGAAAGTTTTATATTTTTTGAATTTTGTTTAAGATGTAAGCATTATTTTGTTTTCAAAAGGAAACTTTACTAATTAACTATAATGGAATCAGTGCTACATTGTTGTTTTTCTTCTGTATTGCTTAATGCTTTAAGTCTAACTTTGTAAAGGGATTTTGACTTGAAATGCAAAAAAAAAAAAAGAATTCTAATAAACAATTCTAGATGTATAATACTAAGCTAGCACTATTTTTGTCTTCAAAATTCTGTGTTTTTTTTAATGTCATTTTAACCCTCTCCAGACAGGTCACGGGTCAAAGGCCATATCATCTCGTTTGTTGACTCAAATTCAAAATTTTATTGAACTACTATTTCATGAATTTATGTCAATAAGTTTGGTATCAAACTGTAGATTATTATTCAAATTTTAGTATTATACATTATTTGATTTCTTAATTTAAAAGTAAATATTAAAAACATGCAGATAAACTTCAATTTTTGTGTGTCACGT